CCACTTGAACACCAAACATATCACTTGTACTTGACTTTTTAAAATTTAAAAATTCAATGTCCCTACTGTGAAAATGTATAGTATTTTAGTTATCAAATGTTTCAGCCACATTTACATTATAGCAGACACATTCTCATCCACACCCCTTTTGGTTTCTTTATAACACCTCCACTACACTATCACAAGAAGTACAGAAATTAGAATAATCTGACAACGAGTAGCTTGTTTCGGCTTGCAGCTTGTCACCATGGTAGAGTCCTTTGACATACGCAACATAATGTGCTGAAATCTTTACAGAGGGACCTGGCACACTTTGGACAAATCTGCTAGCAGCTCACACATTGTCCAGACAAGCTGTGATGTTGGGTCAGATATCCCTGGTTACAGAAATCCTCCAACACAGTCTGCTGACCCTTAAGGTCCTCTCAAAATAGTGACGAAGCAGCTTGACACTTCAGAGCCAAGAGGGACTGCTAGGATTTCTTATTGCTGCACCAGCCTCTTGACTTTTCCTGTCATTCTAATCAACACTTTGAGATGACACAAGCAACATGCGGCGTGTGATACAGCACCGGCATGACACCACAAAGTGTATCTATGGGATCCCCCTCCCTTGTCATATATCCCATATGAGAATATATTAATAACACCGACACCACCACAAGCCAAGTGTCTGGTATCCAAACTAATTTTCACTGTGTCAGGGGTTCATGCATAATCATCCGCTTCATCGACCTGTGAGACTCGCCGGCTCCGATCTTAACATCCCTAAATTGGAATTAAAAAAAATCAACCTCCCGTTGGCACCTGTGTGCCGCTCAGCCTCGATCCCCAAAACAGATGTGACACATCACTCTCTTTCACACGCAGCACACACATAGCACACACACACAAGTCATCCTACAAGATAAAAGCTGCGAGCTTGCCTCAGGTCAGTCTTAACCCAGAACACAAAATTAAATGAGCGGCACAAAAGAAATGCACAGAAAACTCTAATATCTTTCTCATTCAAAGAGATCTTGTTTCAATATGTCATGCTCTTGCACAATGCAAACTCAATCCAAACAGAGAAAAAAAGGACGGTTAACCGCAAAAACCAGGTCACAGGCATTGATTGAGTGGGTAACCAAAACTAAATAAGAACAACAGCCATTAACACAACAACAACAGCAGAGTTACAGGCCATAACAATGCATTCAAATAAACAAAAGGTTTTCACACAGCTTGAATCCCAATAGCTCTGCTCAGGCAATTGTTTTTGAGAGATTGAGCAGCGACAACTCACATTCTAATCGTGCTGATGATTTCATGAGGCTACCCCCCCCCCCCCCTTTTGCTTCAGATCAAAATGCATTCCACGTTTTAGGATCGACCCATGGGAACAGCAATCAGTGGCCTTGTGCACCCGGGATCCTCTCCTGCGAGCATTTGTCACAGGATGCCGGTAGTCATGTGACCTCTCGTGTGTTTCACCAGGTAATGAATCCCTCTGGAGCGGGGTGGCCTGTTTGAGTTAGATCCCCCCGAGCAATGGAGTGCATTGATTGGATGCAGCGCTACTCTAACCAATCTATCACAGCAAATGAATGTTTACAGCGAGCGCTAACGCAACAGCAGAGAAGAGGAGAAGGACAAGGTGCATTGTCTTGGTCCTGATTAAATGGGCAGTGGGGACTGATAAAGTTCGAATGTCAAGCTGTCAGGGGGGAGGCTGAGCGCAGAAGAAGTGAGGGTGGCTTTGTCAGCTCATTTCACTTTTAACTGCATACCTGTGGTGTGTTTGACATAGCAATGGACCAATATATTCCTATAATACACCCTCTGTTGACGCGTTTTCAAGTGGGAGGACAATAGAAATTCAACACACGTCCTTGTGCTTAGTGGTTTCGTTGGACTTTCATGTACTTACAATGAGACAGCGTTGACATATGGGCTATCCATCAAACAGCTGTTTGTTTTTCTCCCTCAATCTCCTCTGGATGGGTGCTTTTTAACAAATGGGATGCCAACAACATATCTTACAAGAGCATGACAATATTTGTACCTTGCTCTATTCTGATAAGGGGTGTAAACCTATGTGGGGGGTGTCAAAAAAAATCAATTCATTAAAAGAATATCCATGCGTCAAGCCTTCAAGGGCTTTGCAATTTGTATCTGTGTGCAAATGTTCTGTGTGCGTAACAGAGGAACCACAGAGCAGAAGCCTCAGTTTCCCTTAAGTCTACATGGGAACTCTGAGACGGTCGGCTAAGCAGGGAGGTAGAAAGGAAACATTTTACTATCCAGCAGAGTTCACATTTACTACTTTGCCCATAATTAAAGCATGATCTAGCAAACCACATAGACAACTTCTGAAATATATCAGAGCCGCTTCCATATTAACAAATGAACACACTCATTACTGCCATGTAAGAGGTGGGATCAGGTCTGTAAAAGCACCAGGGGACCACTGGCCCTAAACCACTGAACTGCATTGCCTGGCATGTGTTTGTTAAGGGAGATGTAGGAAAAGAGGCCACTTGATATTGAAGAGCCATCTTATCGCTGAGTTGGAGTGTAGCTCTGGCTGCTAAGAAGCAGATGCTCTGGGCTCGGCTCGGCTCGGCTCAGTGGCTGACCTGTGAGGAAAACCAATCAGAGCCATAGACTGAGAACAATGTGCTATCATAGCGATATGCACTTGATTTGATAAGAGGTTGTCTGCTTCAGTCCCTCCAGTTTGTCAGGGCGGCTTGCTGTTATATTGGCAGAGGGTTATGGGAATGCCTGAAGGCCGCAATTCAATTCCATGTGCTGTGCAATCTCCAAGCTCACAGGCTTACTAAATCTATTACACAGAGTTGTGCCTCTCACCCAAATAACACCCATTGTTTTTGTCAGCTCCTTGATGGACCAAAGACACACTTGCTAATAAGTGGGAGAAATGGCGTCATGCATAGCTGTTTATTTGGTAAGTGTTCAACTTTTGAGCTGTCCAGTGTTTGATCTTTGCAGCAATCCTCAAAGGTCAGACATGACATTCTGCAGCAAGTTCTAAAGAAGAAAATGCAGGACCTGAAGTCTTTGCCGTTAAAAGCAGACAATGTGTCAAGGACCAAAGAAAGCAGGGATTCTCTTATATCATACTCTGTCCTGGAGCAAGTCTTTGTTTGGAGAGACATTAATGACAGTTGAGGGAGCAGCAGATCAACAGAGCCGGGGGGCATCCAAACATATCCAGCTCAGAGGATGAAGGTCTGTGTACCACCAGGGAAACAACACAAGCTGCTTCTCAGAAAACATGCCCCACAATAGAAACACACACGATAAGCTCCATAACGAAAATACGTTGTTACATAACACAAGATCCTGAAGTGCTGGTTAAAGGTGCAAGTGAGTCAATCAGCAGAACAATTATCTCACACAATTCATCATATTAATCGCTTATCATAAAAACATATATGCAAAAATGGCAGAAAATTGGGTTTTCCGCTTCACAGTTATTGAGATGTATTGCTCTTCTCTGGTTTACATACTTTTCAATTGAATAACTTTGGGGTTTGGACAAAATAAACTATACATTTTCACTATTTTCTGACCTTTGAAACCATTAATTTATTTATCTAGAAAATTGTCTGCAGATGAATCATATATAAAACAACGATTAGTTGCAGCCCTAATGCTTGCCGTCTTGTTCTAAGCAGCCCCTCTCTCCCCAGGGCTGCACCATTCTCCCTGTCAACTCTGTAAAGGTTAACAGATTCCTTCTGAAATGTGACTAATTAATTAATATACAAAATGTCTCCTACATGGCTACAGCAATGTTGGGTTTGTTGAACAACTTTAGAATTTTAAAATGGATGACATTTATAAAAAAAATTATTGAAAAAAAGACAATCAGAAAATGTCCCCTCCTGAGTAAATTCAGAGTATCAATAGAAGTCAAACGATATAGTGGAGTAAATGATGATAGCAAGGTGTTTGTTGAAACACCTTTTGCCTGTGGCTTAACAACATTAGCTGAAATCTCAATAGCATTTTCAACAGCAATGCATATGGGAAAACACCATTTACATGCATATAATTCTGATGCTGCCCGGAGCTACAAAGAGCTAAACATTGTGGATTATGGTAAAATCACGCACAGGAAGGTGCCTTCGGACACAAATTAACCATTTCCATGAGAGATCTTAATTGCAATTATACCAGTGAAGATAGAATACTGCATGTTGCAGCAGAGTATACTGTGACTCGCAACCTGCGCTGCCCCACCCCATCTATCCGAGGCACTTGCAATCTTCGTGGTATTTTTGAGGTCTTGGGGGAGGGGACTGAGTTAAAGTCTAATGGACATTGAGGACAAACATACTTAATTCAAACGGGTGTTTTTACGTTTCTTTTACAAACAATTGTGGTTTCTGGTGCCAGTGAAGCTGAACATGGATCCACGCACGACAAGTTGTCTCAGGGGAAACCTCTTGCACGCGAATAAACTCTATGAAGATGGAAATCTCATGTGGACCGCGACCCTGCGCGCGCCAAACACACACACACACACACACACACACACACACACACACACACACACACACACACACACAGTGCAGAAGACCCACACACTGAAAAAGACATCGAAAGGTACAAAACATGTACACGGGAAAAACTAAGCAAAGGCATAAAAGTTTGCTTTTTCCTAACTATATTGAAGGCATCCCTTTGTGCTTTGCTGATTATGTGTTTTTTTTATTCACATTTCTAACGAAAAGTCACTCAAATGGTTAAATGTTCCAATGAGGTCTATCTGTGGATCGTTTAAGCAGAAGAGCAAATATCACTATTCGAACTTCAGTAATTTTACCATTTAATAAAGTTATTTTATTCCTTAAAATGTTAAACATGTTTTAGTCTGTTCAGCAGCTAAATGTTAAAATGACACATTACTTAAAACGGTGGCACAGCCAAACACACACATCTTGCACGCGGAGCTCCCCAAGCCCCTGACGCAGAGGCACAGCACTCACCTGCAGGACACGGTGATCTCCACCTTGGTGGCCGGGACGCTGCCACTGATGGGATCGAAGTCACACACCGTCGCCGTGGCCTCCACCTTGTCCATTACGTCTCCCTCCATGAGTGCAGGAGACCCGGGCCAGCTCCCCGAGCCGCGTGAGTCCCTCTGAACCGGGAGAGACCGCGGTGGAGAGACGGAGAGCAGCGGAAGAGCGAGCAGGAGCGGATACGGTCCAGACAAACCCCCTAAGTGCTGTCCATTGGACGGGCAACAGCATGGAAAGTTTAATGGGAGGCTGCAGCAGTGAGACGATTGATTTAACTAAAGTGGGATCACATGCCAGGATGCATAAGTGCCAACTCCGGTGTTTACCAGGCACAGAATGAGCTCTTCTGCCCGAGCAGCGTCTGGAAAGTAGAAGCTGTGAACTCCACCCCTCCTGTCTGCATTCTCCTACATGCGGGGCAGCGACTGACAGCTCGTTGCAGATTCAAGGCAAGGTGGAGCTCTGCTGTAGCCTACGGATCGGTGTTTTGCACCAAATAAATAAGCAGCAAAGGGGGAGAATAAAGACTTAACCTTCGAGTGTGTTCTCTTTCTTGTTACTTTAGAACAGATGAATAGATATAATTGTGTGGAACGTGTTAATTGTCTCCTGTTTAAGCCGTTTTGGTTTATGAAAGGTCCGAGGGGTGATTATCTGCATGCGATGCATCCCTAAGTTAGCAGCTCTAATATCGTCCAGCTGGACATTTAGGGGTAACGCAACCAATTAATAGTTTATTTTCAGTAAGTGCTAAAATTGCATCGGTTCCTTCAGAGCCACATGCTCTTATTACTAATTGAGAGGCTGCCTGGTGCTCTTTCAGCATCTGGACAGCTCCTCAAACTCCTACAGCTTCAGTTACAGCACTGTTCCTCGTTTATCTTGCCAGTAAAAAGTGACGTTTGTTTTTCTTCCACACCGTACTGTATATTCATCTCTGGGAGCCTGTCTGTATGAGGCTGCGCTCTCCCTGGGGAGATCCATTTCCCTTTAATCGTTATCTTGATTGAACAACAGGATATATTCAACCTGTCAAACATATAATTCATGGGAAACTGCTCTACCATATATTCTGTGTAAATTCTTACAGAGTGTGTGTGTGGGGGCGGGGGGATCTCCCATTAGTCACAGCCACCAACTACCAAGAATTCTCCAAGGACAGGATCACTACACAGATTGATTGCCTCTCTCTTGTGAAACGTTTTTTGAAGAAATCACTCTTATTCACCCCTCATGTCCTCTGACACATTCGCAGATATCAAATAGGTAAACAGCAAAAAGGCCGCTCTCCAAATCACCAATTTGCACAAAGGAGCTGCCTCAATTTCGGACATTATACCAAAAATACGTGTTACAAACTGAGGCTCCTGAATATGTTTTACTATATGAATCATGCAGCCACACAAAGCATGCAGGTCCATGCGGCATCCATTAATGACTGTTTCACATGTTGGTTACTGAAGTATTTTTTATTCATTCAATTTATGTGTTAATCAACACTTTCATAAATAAAACAACCCATGGTATGAAATAGGGCTGCTCGATTATGGCAAAAATCATAATCTTGATTATTTGGGTCAATAATTTATATCACGATTATTAAAAAACGATTATCCATTTACTTTGAAAACGTCAATTTATTGAGAAAAAAAATGTGAACAGTATGTTTTTAACAGTTACTTTAAGTATAACTCAACTGAAAAACCAATAAAAAATAAATAAAAATAATAATCGTTGTTTTTTCCGATTAAAAAAAATTATCCTTTTATTTCGATTACGTTGATTTCGTAATCGTTGCAAGCCATAATTGTAATTGCGATTAAAATAAGATTAATTGAGCAGCCCTAGTATGAAATAGAAGATGTTTGTACAGATGGTGTTTTTATACTTGTCACACTGTAAACGTTCAATTCCATTATTTAGTTATGGTTTGTTGTATAACTGGAATATTATATAGAGACCAAGCAGCATGCATTTTGGGAAGTCTATTCACAGTAGTAATACACTGCTTTACATTTCTGCACACTACTGTGAGGCTGTGAGGGCTGCGAATTTCGGACAGCGCAGCAGAGAGCAGATTCATCATTAGTTATGTTCACCCAGTAATTAGGCTCCTTGGTGGCCCTTGCTCGGTTGATTTTGAGCTCCCTTCAGTGAGCTGTTCCCCCCCACCTGCTGTGAGACTCTTTGCTGTTCCCAGCTACAGCCGCCCCACCTCCTATAGCTGTGGCAGGAGTGTAATTATGGCCGGATGGACCCTCTCTGTGGGGAGTGTGTGTGTGTGTGTGTGTGTGTGTGTGTGTGTGTGTGTGTGTGTGTGTGTGTGTGTGTGTGTGTGTGTGTGTGTTACCACTAAGGGAGGAGGCCAGTTGATGGGGTACAAATTCTATCATCATTGTTACTCTGCAGCGACGAGCCCACAGCATCAAGAGCAGAGGCTGAAAGTTACAAGTATTGACTCTTTATCAGGCACTGTATTTTCAAGGAAGAAAATGTTTTGTACATTCAAACTTGATATAACATCTTACACAACATTTGGCTTTGTTACATTTTTCAGACAGCTGTTTTATGACGATAACATATGATGCATTGGGGTATATAGATGGTACTTCTTGTGCTTTTAGCTGTATGAATCAAGTTTTTGCCATAGAAAAAAAAAGCGATAAGATAAACAGCCACCACCATGGCCATGTCCCCATTCCTCCTCATCTTTTCAACCCTCCTGCCTGGGACATGAAAATAAATCTTAGCACTCCATTTTGAAGTATTCTCAATTTCTAAAATGCATCTCATGGACCAAGTGAAGAGGAGACATGTGTCTCCTTTGCAGAGACCTTGATGTATAGAAAAGGCGTGACAATGGACAGTCAATGCATCTGTGTTGCAAGTCATATTTTATTCAAATCACTTTAAAATAATGGCTGCTAAGCAACAGAACACAATGAATAAAAAAAAAGGTATAAAAAAGAATCAGGGGTCAGGCCTTGATGCCGTCCGTAAGAAGATGTTTAAGCATTGGGCATCTCTTTAAAAAGCTGCAAAAATGCTGGTTTCAATTACTGTATGTTTTTTGTTTTCAAGGGCTGAACAGTTTTTATGGATTTATTATGAGCCAAGGTTGAACTTTCTAAACTCAGCAAATACTCTTATTTGTTCTGCGCTAACAAATGGTGCTTGTGTAGAATCATTTTTAATGTAAGTCCATCAATCCATTTTACTCAAAGTGAACATTCCTAAATTCAACCTCTCACATGTGATTAAGGCAGTGGTTCTCAAAGTGGGGGGCGCGCCCCCCCCAGGGGGGCGCAGAGGCATGA